TGGGACAAAATGAAAACACTATGTCGCGTGGTTCCGTCTAGGATCAAAACAGAGAACCACCTTGCGTGAAAAAAACGTGATAAACACTAAAAACGGAACCACTAAACATGTAGTGAACGGCTTGAATTAAACTGACTGACTTAAAGCCTATACTCTAACTTAATTATTTTCATATATTATGCACGTGATTAAAGTGAAGAATGCAACAAAAATAGGCGATATCCGCGCAAGAAAGTTCCATAATATTTTCAATCTGCTACAATATTTTATGGGATAAAATTAGAATTCGTCGCCCCATGGTTCCGTCCGGCATCGAACCGGATAACTTCCGTGTGTGAAGCGAACGTGATAACACTACACTACGGAACTATTCAATAGGTAGGGAAGGACATGAATTAGTGATTGACTTAAAGCCTTTACTCTGCATTAGATATCATTGCCATTTATAATGCACTTGATTAAAGAAAAGCGTACAGTAAAAATGAGAGATATCCACTCTCGTGAATTCTATCCCATTTTCAACCTGTTATGTTATTTCATGGGACAAAATGATATAACTTCGTATCGTAATTCCGTCCGGGATCGAACGGCAGTCCTTTCGCGAGTGAATTGAACGTGATAACCACTACACTACGGAACCCCTCAAGTGGGAGGTAACGCCTTGAATTAAAGTGACTGACTTAAAGCCTTTACTCTGAATTAGATATCGTTACCATATATTATGCCCTTGATTAAAGAAACGCGTACAGTAAAAGAAAGAGATATCTACGCGCGTGAATACAATCCTTTTTCAAGCTGCGATGATAATTCATGGGACAAAATGTAGACGCTCTGTCGCGTGGTTCCGTCCAGGATTGAAACGGAGACCTTACGCGTGTGAAGCGAACGTGATAACCACTACACTACGGAACCGCTCAAGTAAGAAGGAACGGCTTTTGAATTAAAGTGCCTGACCTAAAGCCTTTACTCTGAATTAGATATCTATGCCATTTATTATGCACTTGATTAAGAAAGGTGAATTTTGAAATCGGAAAGGTAAAATTTGATTTTTTTGACAATTTGAGATTTTTACATTCCACATAGTACAGATTTTAACCTTTCTAAAAATACCAACTTACTTTAACCTCTAGGGTAAGTAGAAGCCTAAAAACCTATTTTTAAATAATCGTTGAAACTGGGCCACGCCCATTTGACAAGCGCAAAAGTAAACAAAAAGTTTTTTGTTTTGGCTTAAAAGTTGAGCGTCTGGTATAAATCAAAACATTTATCTTTTATTGTATAAATTGAGTCTTTTATTATTTTATTTCCTAACCCATTTGAAACTTCACTGTATTTTTAACGGTCAAATCAGTGTTTGTTTACACTTTCAAAACTGCGTTGTAATTTTTGAACTCGCAAGTATTCTTTAACATTATTCAGCTTAAACTTTCAAAAAAATTGCTATAATATATCGACTTTACCATGCCTAGAGCATCGACTAAAGTATTTAAGAAACTAAGAGGAGTTTTTAATAAAGGAAGATGTAATAAAAGTAATGATGGTTGTGGTGAAAGCAATTCTACTGTTCCAAAGAACTCTGCTGATGAAAAAAATTGTGCTGATGGTGCAAAGCTTTGTACTAATGAAACTGAACCATCTGCCAGTGAGAGAAAAATTGTAAACATGGATATTTCATATTCGGATGAGGCTTTTCTGGTTTCAGAAATGTTATTGTGGACATTAACCTTTTAGCTTGTGTGTTTTGAAGCTGTAAAATGTATAAAAAGTGTGAAAAAACAGGACTCAGGTTGCACCTCAGTGAAAGTAACTGTGGTGAAGCTGTGAAGTTTCACTTAAAATGTCCTTCTTGTAAATATAACTATACTTTTTTAACTCCAAGAAATGCGATAGTTCTGAGAATTACGAACTGAATACCCGGCTAGTGTATGCTATGCGTGCATAGGTAAAGGTGCTGAGTCTGCTAGGATGTTTTGCGGTATCATGAATCTTCCCCGCCACCCACAAAATTCTCAAAGTACAACCACATTTTTACTGCAGGCAACAAGAGAAACCTGTGAACACAGTATGGCAGAAGCTGTTCGTGAAGTCGTTGATGAAAATGATGGAAAAAGGGACCTTGCTGTTGCTGTTGATGGTAGCTGGCAGAAGCGTGGTTTTTCTTCGAAGAATGGCTTGGTGACAGTCACAAGTGTTGATACCGGCAAAGTTATAGATGTCGAGAAGTTTTTTCAAAACATTGTATTTGTCCGAACAAAATCAAGCATCTTCAAAATTGTAAAGAGAAATTTTGAAGGCTACAGCGGTAAGATGGAAGTAGCTGGAGCTCTATCCATTTTCAGCGTTCCCAGTCTCTCTACAATGTTCGGTACACACAAATATTTAGGAGATGGGGACTCCAAGGCGTTTACTTCTTGTCGAGAACAAAGTATATGGTGACCATTGCTCTGTCGAGAAATTAGAATGCATAGGTCATGTTATGAAAAAGAATGGGGACACGTCTTCGACGCTTGAAAACTAAGATGAGAGGTCAAAAACTTTCTGACGGAAAGCCTTTATGCGGAAGAAATAGATTGACAGAGGCGAAATCGACCGTCTGCAAGCATATTATGGTCTAGCTATCCGCAGAAATTTGTCTAGCGTGAAGGACATGCAACAAGCCATATGGGCAATATTTTTACACAAGCTATCAACCGATGAAAAACCTCAGCATGGATTTTGTCCCTCTGATTCAGATACGTGGTGCAAATTTAAAAAGCAGAATTGCTTGGGGAGACTTATCATCACAAAAATAGTTTACCTGTGGATGTTGTGGAGGCCATGCGACCTGTTTTTGGGATTTAGCTAATCAGAATTGCTAAAAAAAAAAGTGTTTACATGGAGGTACGCAAAATCCTAACGAAAGTGTAAATAATGTAATATGGTCTCGTGTACCGAAGAAAACATTTGTACAATTAGAAGTTTTGTCACTGGGTACATATGATGCAGTTTCCTCATTTAATATGGGGAATGTATCAAAAACTAGAAATTTTGAGAAAATGTGTATTGAGCCTGGTGATTACACGGTACAGGCGATGGAGTGCCTCGACAAACAGAGGCTGTTACGAGCAAAATACTATTGTTTACAAAAACAAAGGAAGTTAGGGAAGGAAAAAAGACTTAAAAAGGAAGAAAGAAGATGATGAGCTACTAAAAAATGCTGATGATTTAGAATATGGAGGTGGCATGTTTTAACTAAAAAAAGTAATTATACGTTAAAATCAATTTTTTCTCAAAATGTCAATTTTTGATGTTCGATGTTCCTTTTCTTAGAAACTACTGTTCTGGTATGTAAATTTTTTATGATATATTTATAATGATAGCTAATATATACTGAAATGAGCTTTTTTGTAAAAACCCCAAAATTTATTTTTTACAAATTTTTTTATGTGAAAACGGGTTAACGTAAACTATGTTTGATAAAATATTTTATAAATTATGAAAAAATTCAAAATTAGCTAAAAAGCTCATTTGAGTATAATGAGAATGTGTATTTTAATTATATGAAAAATTTCAAGCATGTACATATAACAGATTTTGAGAAAATGTACCTCGAAAACAGCCAATTTAACATTGTCGGTATAGAGGTTTCCGACTGCCCTTAAAGAAAAGCGTACAGTAAAAAAAAGAGATATCCACCCGCTTTATTTCTATCCCATTTTCAACCTGCGTTGCTATTTCATGGGACAAAACGATATCACTTCGTCTCATGGTTCGGTCCGGAGACCTTTCGCGTGTGTAGCAAACGTGATAACCAATACAGTACGGAACCGCTCAAGTAAGAAGGAACTGCTTGAATTAAAGTGTCTAACCTAAAGGCTTTACTCTGAATTAGATATCATTGCCATTTATTATGCACTTGATAAAAGAAAAGCGTACAATAAAAATAAGAGATATCCACGCGCATAAACTACATCAGATTTTAAACCTGCTATTTTATTTCATGGGATAATATGAAAACACCTTGCAACGTGGTTCCGTCCGGGACCGAAACTGAGGCTATTCGCGCGTGAACAAACGTTATAACCACAACCTTACGGAACCACTAAATAAGTAGGGAACGGCTTGAATTAACGTGCCTGACTTACAGACGACACTCTAATTTAGTTATTTTCATATATTATGCACCTTATTAAATTTAAGAGTATAACAAAAAAAGCGATATCCGCGCGTGAAAATTCCAACTTATTTTCAACCTGCTAAGTTATTTTATGGGATAAAATTATAATTCTTCGCCCCAGGGTTCCGTCCGGGATCGAACCGGAGACCTTTCGCGTGTGAAGCAAACGTGATATCCAGTACACTACGGAAACCTTCAAGTGGAAGGTCTTGACCATGGTTCAAAATTACGTGGTCCGTCGCCAAAAGCCCTCGTGTAGCTGAACAGTGCGACGTTAATATTCAATCGATCAATCAATCATTCAAGTGGAAGGTAACGACATGAAGTAAAGCGACGGACTTAAAATTCTTTAATCCAGTGCTTCTCAAACTTTCAATACTGGCGCCCCCCTTTTCAATCACAATTTTTATCGCACCCCCCTTATACATTAATAATGCACTAAATGCAATAATAATGCACTTTGACGCTAAAGCTACAATACGAGATCTTAATTATAAACCATACAAATTAATAACATAAGTATTAAATTTTGAATACTACTTTTAAGCAAAAAAATTAATTAATAGGATAATCATTATGTTATTTTTCCTTTCTCTAATTTTTAAATTGAACATATTGCAAAATGCGGTGACTGCTTAGAAGACAAAATATAGATATCTGCTAAATATAGAAACATAACTCAGAGGGTCCATTTCTAATCATAAGCATTCCTTATAAAAATTCTGCTTTGCAAGACAAGCCCATGGAAGCCTCTAATACTTATTAAACTTGTTCTTAATTTAGTATTAATTAATTCGTTATAAAATACTCTGTGCAGCACTGATACATTAAAAGTATACCGTCCGAAGTACTCGCTCTTTGCAGGAGTTCACACACACACACACACATTTATAAGAAAATAAAACATTGTTGATATAATAGCTGAATTGTAAAGAGTAAAAGCAAAGTGCGCGACAATGTTTACAAAAATGTAAAATGTTTTTTTTAAATGATTGCTCAAATTATAATTAGTTTTAAGCGAATTTTAATTATAAGCCTCACAGAATTAGCATTTATAATTGATGTTAAATAATGAACAATAATATAAAATTCCGATGAAGAATAATTGTATTATTTTCAATATTTAAAGCAAAAAGACTTCAACATGTTTTAACCTGGGAGCAGGCGCACACTCGATACGGTCGAGCGGGGTTATTGAGTCACCCCAATCTTTTTTTTATAATTATTTTATTGTACACGATACAAATCGTTATTGCAGTGAATAATTTAATTAAGAGAAAGCTTACTTACCTACTTTCAAGGACTTTTAAATTTTTCTTTGTTTACAAATAAACAGTTTTGCCAGAATTAACAATTTCGTGATCTGTGTGTCCCGCGCGACCACTTCCGGGTAAACAGAGTATTCATTATGATAATATGTATGTTACTGCTAAAAACAATAGTTAAGCTTTATATGTTTGAAAATACTCATCTTGGTCTAAGTCTTCGCAAAGTAATCCATCAAAGGGTGTGTGTGTGCTCTCCGTGGTTTTCCAAATATCATAAAACTGTTTTGCATGGAAAAAAGCGCAACAGAGAAATACATTACTTACAACTTCCTTAAATGAGAAATAAATGCATAAGAGAGGGGTCATAACTAACTGTACCAATAACTTAGAAGGTCAAAAAAAATTACAGCTATAATGTGCAGTATTTCAAAAATAATGACAGTGATGAATTTTTTATGTTCCTAAATTTTTTCGATTCTGGATCTGGGATCTGTTTTTTCTCAGAAAGAGTGGAATGTTAGTTTTAAAAAAGAAAACATAATAAAAACTCTCTCATCATTGGATTACAGCAAATTAAATAAAATGTTTTTATTTGGTTATAGGATCAAAGATAGCTAATCAAGTATTGAAGAAGTTTCTTTTTTTGGTGACTTAATATCGCCTATAACTTATATCATAGTAAAAGTGCATTTTTTATTATGTCTGAAAGTATTTTGTGTTTTAATTCATTCCAGTAACTTAATTATTTTTTAAATGTTTTATTTTCGATATGCTGGCGCCCCCTCGTAAAGTTATCGCGCCCCCCCAGGGGGGCGCGCCCCACAGTTTGAGAAACACTGCTTTAATCTGCATTAGATATCATTGCCATACATTATGCACGTGATTAAAAAAAAGCGTACAGTAAAAATAAAAAATATCAAGCGCGTGAATTCCATCCCATTTTCAACCTGCTATGTTATTTCATTTGACAAAATGATATCACTTAGTACCGTGGTTCCGTCCGGGATCGAACCGGAGACCTTTCGCGTGTGAAGCGAACGTGATAACCACTACACTACGGAACCTCTAAAATATAAAAGGAACGGCTTGAATTAAAGTGCCTTACCTAAAGCTTTTACTCTGAATTAGATATCATTGCCATTTATTATGCACTTGATTAAAGAAAAGCGTACACAGTAAAAAAATGAGATATCCAGGCGCGTGAATTTCATCCCATTTTCAATCTGCTATGTTATTTCATTGAATAAAATGAAAACACTCTGCCCGTGGTTCCGTCCAGGATCGAACCAGAGAACCTCCGTCTGTGAACAAAACGTGATAAACACTAACTACGGAACCTCTAAACAGGTAGTGAACGCCTGGAATTAAACTGACTGTCTTAAAGCCTATAATCTAACTCAGTGTTTCTCAAACTTTCAATACTAGCGATCCAATTTTCAGTCATAATTTTGTCGCGCCCCCCGTACAACAATGTATTTACTGCAATAAAAATGCACTTTGAGAGAGACCCTAAAGTTACAATAGATCTTAATTATAATCCGTACAAATTAATACGATAAGCATATTAAATTTTGTATATGTAACATTTAAGTAATATATACTTTAGTAAAATTACTTATAATATATATTACTTACTTATTATTATGTTATTTTTCTTTCCCTAATTTTTAAATTGGAACAGATCGCAAAATGATATATTTAATTAAAGATTTTTTTTCTCCTTCAGCATTCGTTTCTCAAAGTACAAATGTTATTAGAAAAATAGTCTAGTCTATGTTGCTTTCTATCATATCTATCACATCTGGCATTATAGGGTACGTTTGCGTTAGTCTGGGCAACCTTTCAGACGTTTGCGCAAAACATGTAAAAATGCTTTTCCTCGTACAATTCCAGTCAGTTTTGGTCGACTCGATACTTCTATAGCAACCGAATCTAGCTTGTGAATGTACATTTTTTTAAAATTTACAATTTATTTGTAATTCACGGTAATTAAGTATTTACGACAGTAGATTGAAACAAAATCATACATACATTTTTAAGTCGTAAGCAAACATTCGACGATAATAAAGGATCAACAAGTACACAGACGAGCATAGTTCCAAAAATTAAATCAAGGAAATAAATATTTTCAAAAATAATTAAATTTTGGATTTACCACCACTGAAGTAAATGATGGGAAAAAAGCCCCAGCCCGTTACAAATCTGAAGAACAACATGTGAAAGTTGTTTCTAAAACCATGTAAAATCATTTAGCTATGTTGGCAAAGAATTTTAAAAAGTATTTTCTGGATGAGGACAACTTGGTAGCAAGTTTCGAGTGGATTAGGGATCTATTTCAAGATACTCCAGAAGGGCTCTCAACTTCCGAAGAAGAAATCTTCATAGATTTCACATAGAGTAAAAACTTAAAATTCAATTTTGTAGCTAATCGCTCTTTGAATTTTGGCTAGAGGTGGATGAGGAATTCTCTGTACTTAAAACAAAAGCACTTCGTATACTATTACCATTTTCAACATCCTACCTTTGTTAAACCGGAATTTCTGCGGTGGCTGCTTTGAAGACAAAATATAGATCTCAGCTAAATATAGAAAAATAACTCAGAGTGTTAATTTCTGATATTAAACCTTCCTTTGAAAAACATTGCTTTACAAGACAAGCCCATGGAAGTTCCTATTAATTATTAAACTTGTTCTTAATTTAGTATTAAAAATTATTTATAAAATACCTTCTTCAGTACTGATATATTAAACGGCCATACTGGTTTGAAACACCAGCTCTTCGCACGAGTTAATTTGTTTAAAAATAAAACATTATTATTGGTATAATAGCTGAAATGTAAGGAGAGTAAAATTGCGTGCACGACATTGTATACAAAAATGTGCAATGATTTTTTTAGCTAAATGCTATAATTGTAAATAACTATTTAAAAGAACTCTAATTTTTTTAAACCTCATAGAATAAGCATTTAGAATTAATGTTAAGTAATAAAAAAGAATATAAAATTCCGACGAAGAATAATATTGTGTTACTTTTTAATATTTAAAGCGTGAAGACTTCAAAATGTTTTAAACCAGGAGCAGGAGCGCACTCGATACTAACGCTAATGGTAGTGCGGGGGGACTCAGTCACCCCAATCATTTGTTTATAATTATTTTTACTGTACACGATACAAGTCGGAAAATTCCAAGGAATAATTTAATTAAGAGAAAGTATACTTACCGGCTTTCAAGAACTATTCATCTTTTATTTGAAGATTTGAGAAAAAATCCAATTAAACTGAGCTAAAATGGTTTAAAAATGCAAGACCTTAATAAAGGACGCAAATCAGAGATACTTTTCATTAATATTACAGAAATGTTATTTGCTGTCAAAGCTGCCATATTTTGTTCCAAGTTATTGTACTTTTAATGAGCTTTCATGAACGAGTGAGTGAATATTAACGTTGCAATGTTCAGCTACACGAGGGCTTTTGGAGACGGACCTCGTAATTTTGAACCATGGTTAAGTGACGAGGACGATACTTGAGCTGGCCTCTTTTAACTACCACACCACTCCAACAAGAGGACGTTTGAGCTCTCGACAGATTTAACGTGCATCTCGCCTCTACACGTCGGGTCTTTAGTGGTACTGGGCTCGAACTCGTGACACCTTTGGTGATCAACAAATAGCAAGTTGAACTTTTTCTTTCTTGTGTCTTTTTGACAAGGCGAACTGAACCTTGTGGTACACTTACGACTTCATATTTTAGTTGATGGAGTTCTTTAGGAAGCATTTGAAAATCTTCCTTTCGTTTCATGTTTCTCAATCATGAATAATATGCATTCTTTCAGCAGGTTTTTCTTTTGCTTCATCAGTTTCAACTTCCTTCAATAGAGATCACAGATGTCCCGTGCCACCTCTCCCTGTTTAAAAGTTTATTCAGAAAAAAATACGGATGATATAAATAACCATACCAGTAAGTCTGATGGTCAATCACATGATTAACAAATGTATTATGCAGCCTGGCTGAAAAGTGAATCATGTCTTCCTTTTCTTTTTCTACAACTAATGTACAGTATTTCAATAATAATTTCAGTGATGAATTGTTTATCTTCTTAGAATTTTTCTCAGGGTCTGGGTTTCGTTTTTCTTTTAACGAGTAATATTTTATGTTAAAACGTAAAAAAAAATCTCTCATTGAGGAAATGCAGCAAAAACAAAATGCTTTTTTTTCTTTAATTTGATCTGGGAAAAAAAGATAGCTATTTGATGACGGAAAAACGACAGATGATAATTATAAATTATATCAGTGTTTTTGTGTATTTTTTATTATGTAAGAAAGTATTTCGTTTTACTTCTTTCCGGTTATTTTTTTTAAATCTTTAAATTTTCGATGTGCTCGCGCCCCCTTTGTAGGGTCATTGCGCCCCCCAGGGGGACGCGCCCCACACTTTAAGAAACACTGATCTAACTTAATTATTTTCATATATTATGCACGTGATTAAAGTGAATAATACAACAAAAGTAAGCGATATCCGTTCAAGAAAGTTCCATAATAATTTCAATCTGCTACATTATTTTATGGGATAAAATTATAATCCTTCGCCCCATGGTTCCATCCGGGATCGAACTGGAGACCTTTCTCGGAAGAAGCGAACGTCATAACCACTACACTAAGGAACCCCTCAAGCGGGAGGTACCACCTTGAATTAAAATGACTGACTTAAAGCCTTTACTCTGAATTAGATATCCATATATTATGCACTTGATTAAAGAAAAGCGTACTGTAAAAATGAGAAATATCCACGCGATTGAATTCCCTCCCATTTTCAACCTGCTATGTTACTTCTAGGAACAAAATGATAATTCTTCGTCTCGTGGTTCCATCCGGGATCGAAACGGAGACCTTTCGCGTGTGAAGCGAACGTGATAACCACTACACTACGGAACCCTTCAATTGGGAGGTAACGGCTTGAATTAAAGCGACGGACTTAAAGCCTTTACTCTACATTACATATAATTGCCATACATTATGCACTTGATTAAAGAAAAGCGTACAGTAAAAATAAGAGATAGCCACGCGCGTGAATTCCATATAATTTTCAACCTGCTATGCTATTTCATGTGACAAAATATCACTTTGTCTCGTTGTTCCGTCCGGGATCGAACCAGAGACCTTTCGTGTGTGAAGAGAACGTGATAACCACTACACTACGGAACCCTTCGAGAGATAGGTAACGTCTTGAATTAAAGCGACGGACTTAAAGCCTTTACTCTGCATTAGATATCAATGCCATTTATAATGCACTTGATTAAAGAAAAGCGTACTGTAAAAATAAGAGATATCCACGCGCGTGAATTCCCTCCCATTTTCAAAAAATTATGTTATTTCATGGGACAAAATGATAACACTTTGTCTCGTGGTTCCATCCGGGATCGAACCGGAGACCTTTCGTGTGTGAAGAGAACGTGATAGCCACTACACTACGGAACCCTTCGAGCGATAGGTAACGTCTTGAATTAAAGCGACGGACTTAAAGCCTTTACTCTGCATTAGATATCAATGCCATTTATTATGCACTTGATTAAAAAAAAGCGTACAGTAAAAATAGGAGAAATCCACGCGCGTGAATTCCATCCCATTTTAAACCTGCTATGTTATTTCATTGAATAAAATGAAAACACTCTGCCCCGTGGTTCCGTCCAGGATAGAACCAGAGAACCTCCGTGCGTGAACAAAACGTGATAAACACTAACTACGGATCCTCTAAACAGGTAGTGAACGGCTGGAAATAAACTGACTGTCTTAAAGCCTATAATCTAACTTAATTATTTTCATATATTATGCACGTGGTTAAAGTGAATAATAGAACAAAAGTAGGCGATATCCACGTAAGAAATTTCCATAATATTTTCCATCTGCTACAACTTTTATGGGATAAAATAATAATTCTACGCCCCATGGTTCCGTCCGGGATCGAACCGGAGACCTTTCGCGTGTGAAGCGAACGTGATAACCACTACACTACGGAACCGCTCGCAAGTAAGAAGAAACATCTTGAATTCAAGTGCCTGACCTAAGGGGGTCACTTCACGAAAATCCATGAACAAATCGATTTTTCAATTTTGATTGAAACATAAAATTTCATTCTTTTTCTTTCTAATGCAGTTTAAATTTTTGCTCTAGCTGAATTAGAAGTATTTTTAATATTTTTTTTAAAAAGTTGTTTACATCTGTCAAACCCAAAAACCGCTGATTGCCACGCCCTCTTAAATCAAAACAAAAGACACATGCTACTTTTCAGCCTTATCAAATGGTTTAAATTGATTAAAAGAATTTATTTTGATAAGCAACTCATCCAGGAAAGAAGTGAAGTGAATAGTTGTAGATGTTTGTTTACTTACAGCCTATTTTTTACCTCCTTAAATGCAACGGATTTCTGCTATCATGCGCAAGTGTTTTACATCAAAAACATTAATAAAACGTTTACAAAACGTTTTTTAAACTCTGCTAAGTAATAAAATGTTTAAAAAACGAAAGAGTTTGGAAAGAAATGTACAAAAACCCAAACTTTTATAGATTTAAATGTTATAAATCAGACAATTTCAACATAAATAAATCAGCTTTAAAATCTAAGTTAGGTAAGTTTAATAAAGAGTATGTTTCTTTTTTAGATTCATTTGAATGTTTCTGTGAAATTCCTGACATTGTACTGTTCTTTTGTGCTTTGAAACAACATTAATTACATAAAATTATTGCAAAAACTAAGGTATTCACATAAATTTTGGTCGCCAAATCTAGGGTTTGGCTAGAAAATTGGGTAAAATCCTAGGAGGACCCACTGCTGTTTTTGGCGCCAAAAATCTTTCGCCAAAAAGCGCCAAATTGAAGGTTTTCAAAAAGGCGTCAATGACGAAAAACTCTTGGGATGCGCATGCGTCAGCGGAGGGGGGATGAAATGGGCGTTTCGCAAAGATGAAATCGAATAAATACATTAAATTAATCATTATATAAAGAAAAAAACGGAGAAAGCAATGAAATTCATTTTAAAAAAGTATTCTAAAACCAGTGTGTACAACATGATTTACATTTTTAAAAAGGACGAAAGGGGCGTTTCGCAAAGATAAAATCGAAGAAATACATGAAATCAATTTTAAAAAATGTTAAAAAGCACTTACCTTACGCTTGCATTTCGTCATGATCTGTTGGTGGATACACCCTTGCGATGGACGCAAGGAATTTATGAAAATTCTCATTCACCAACTTGTGATCGTAAGATCGCCGCCACATGTGTCTTATTAACTTTGTCATATTCTTATTAACTTTCAAGTCATTCATCACGAACTCATTCATGCTCTTGCCGAACCAATATCTCGTCAAACGCAAGATAATAGTTATAGCAAGTTTGCTTTCGCTAAACCAAGTGCCCTTTCTCACACTCCGAACGACGTCGTGGCGATTATCTTTCGACTGGTTGCGGCAACGCCATTCGTAGCCGTCAACCGTTCCCTTTCGCAAACGCATATTTTTTTAAACCTCGGACATTCATAACGAGAAGCAATTAAATTAGCTTTTCTAATGTCTCTTTCTTCCCCTTTGTGCCCAGGAGCACAAAAAGAAACCTATCGTAGCCTCACTTTAAAGTAATTTCCTTTCACACGCCATTCTTAACAACCTCCAGCGAAGTCAAATGTCAAAATGACGTTTTTTTTTCGGAAAAGGCGAAAAATGTTGCACTTTTTAGGGTTGCCATTTTTCGGTGATTTGAAAATCCAAATTTTTGATGAAATGGAAAGGTAACCATATTGTAACCTTTATCGCTCAAAAATTTGGCGACAAAAATTTGGCGACCAAAAGTGGGTCCTCCTAGGATTCAACCGAAAATTGCTAATATGTTGTGACTTTTGTGGTCTTATTCAAACATTTCTTAATACCAGGTTTACTAAAACAGTAGTTGATCAAAAAGATACAAAATTATATGAAGTGGACACAATAGAATTTTATATGCTATGAGGTCTATTTAAAAGAAGCAGTTGCAAAATATTTTGCGGAGTTATGCATTTGTCACTTACACCATAGTGGTTTTACGATTCCATGCATACATTAAATAATGCGACAGAGAAAGTAACCAAAGTGTCTATGGCTTTAGTTGCTGCCGAAACAATATTTAATAATGGATAACCAAATGTACCAGTCGCTATCAATGGTACCTGGCTAAAAAGAAGCTATATATTTCTAAATGGTGTTGTTACGGCAGTTAGTTTGGACACTGGGAAAGTTGTTGATGCTAAAATATTATCGCAGAAATGTTCATGTAATTTTAACAGTGATGTACATAGCAATGAGTCTTCGGCAAGTTACATTGAAAATAGTAGGGGAATGGAAATTGAAGAGGTGCACTTTTTTTGTATCTCTCATCGCTCGCAGACATTACACAATTTACGATATACACAATATTTGGACTATATGGGAACTCTAAGGCATACAAAGCAGTTTTAGAATCTAAAGATATGTCAATATTGAACAATTAGAATGTGTTGATCATGTTGAGAAAATGATGGGGACATGACTTAGGGCCTTAAAATCAAAATTAAAAGACAAAAAGCTTAAAGACAAAAAATCTCTAGGATGCCGTAATGGCTTGACAGATGCTGAAATAAATAAATTGCAAATTTACTATGTTTTGGCTGTTCAAAACAACTCGGGAAAATTTGTCAGCCATAAGGCAAGCTATATGGACTATAATTTTTGATAAAGTGTTCACAGGTTTGAATCTACGACACGGTTTATGCCCCATGGGATGTGACTTGTGTAGATATAATATGTCCATACTGAAAGGTTACACATACCAGCATAAACACGACTTACCTATTGTAATTAGGAGAGAGAGAATTGCATAAACAAAGTATTTAGAGATCACTAATCTTGAACATTTATCTGGATGCTTGCTTGATAAACTCAAAATATTAGTGAAAGCGGAAATAATTTTTGGTGTATAATTCCAAAAACTGTATTTGTGCAATTGGGACCTTCAAAAACTATAGTACATGAAGCTATATACTTATATAATCAAGGCTTCATTGCCAAATTAAAAGTTTTAGATGTATTAAACATTCAACCCCTGAATTTTACAAATGTCGAGCATTGCAAAAAGTAGATCATCCGTGTATTAGGTAAGCAGAATAGTCATTTTTACTATGAACCAAAGACGCTAGAATTAAAAACAAACAATTAAAATGTAGGCAAGAAGATGATCTTGCAGATGACACTAGCAATCCCCAAGTTATAGTTCTGGTATGCATTAGTTAATAGTTAGTTTTTACTTTAAATCACTATTTCTCAAAAGTGTAAATTTCAACACAAAAGGAACATTTTTGAAAAAACTACTTATTTTACAGCCTTGTAACTTTGCACATATGTTAACACTATACAAATAAATATTTTAATGAGAGATTTTGTAAAAAAAATTATTCAAAAAATATTTATGGATTAAAATGTACAAGAATTTTCATCGTTTTAAACATTTTGACGTGTTACTCCACATATGAATTTTTTTAAAAAAACACTAATTAAAATTTTACAAAATGCTCCCATTAAAATAATAAAAACAATACAATGAATACACAAAAAAATTCATGACTGTGTGCAACCAGCCAATTTTTAAAAAATGTTCCTTAAACTTGGTCATTTTTAACATTACGGAGATAGGGAAAATGCTGTGTGAAGTGAAAGCCTTTACCTAAAGCCTTTACTCTGAATTAGATATCAATGCCATTTATAATGCACTTGATTAAAGAAAAGCGTACTGTAAAAATAAGAGATATCCACGCGCATGAATTCCATCTCATTTTCAACCTGCTATGTTATTTCTTTGAATAAAATGAAAACACTCTGCCCCGTGGTTCCGTCCAGGATTGAACCAGAGAACCTCCTTGCGTGAACACAATGTGATAAACACTAACTACGGAACCTCTAAACAGGTATTGAACGAGTGGTATTAAACTGACAGTCTTAAAGCCTATAATATAACTTAATGATTTTCATATATTATGCACGTGGTTAAAGTGAATAATACAACAAAAGTAGGCGATATCCGCGCAAGAAAGTTCCATAATATTTCAATCTGCTACATTATTTTATGGGATAAAATTATAATTCTACGCCCCATGGTTCCCTCCGAAATCGTACCGGAGACCTTTCGCTTGTGAAGCGAACGTGATAATCACTACCCTACGGAACCGCTCAAGTAAGAAGAAACATCTTGAATTGAAATGCCTGTCCTAAAGCCTTTATTCTGAATTAGATATCAATGCCATTTTTAATGCACTTGATTAAAGAAAAGTGTACAGTAAAAATAAGAGATCTCCATGCGCATGAATTCCATCCCATTTTTAACCTGCTATGTTATTTCATAAGACAACATTATAACACTTCGTCTCGTGGTTCCGTCCGGGATCGAACCGGTGACCTTTCGCGTGTGAAGCGAACGTGATAACCACTACATTACGGAACCCTTCAAGAGATAGGTAACGTCTTGAATTAAAGCGACGGCCTTAAAGCCTTTACTCTGCATTAGATATCAATGCCATTTTTTATGCACTTTATTAAAAATAAGAGATATCCACGCGCTTGAATTCCATTCCATTTTCAACCTGCTATGTTATTTCATTGAATAAAATGAAAACACTCTGCCCCGTGGTTCCGTCCAGGATAGAACCAGAGAACCTCCGTGCGTGAACAAAACGTGATAAACACTAACTACGGATCCTCTAAACAGGTAGTGAACGGCTGGAAATAAACTGACTGTCTTAAAGCCTATAATCTAACTTAATTATTTTCATATATTATGCACGTGGTTAAAGTGAATAATACAACAAAAGTAGGCGATATCCGCGCAAGAAATTTGCATAATATTTTCAATCTGCTACGTTATTTTATGGGATAAAATAATAATTCTACGCCCCATGGTTCCGTCCGGGATCGAACCAGAGACCTTTCGCGTGTGAAGCGAACGTGATAACCACTACACTACGGAACCGCTCAAGTAAGAAGGAACGGCTTGAATTAAATTGCCTGACCTAAAGCCTTACTCTGAATTAGATATTAATGCCATTTATTATGCACTTGATTAAAGAAAAGCGTACACATTAAAAATAAGAGATATCCACGCTCGTGAATTCCATCCCATTTTCAACCTGCTATGTTATTTCTTGGGACAAAATGATTACACTTCGTCTCGTGGTTCCGCCCGGGATTAAACCGGAGACTTTTCGCGTGTGAAGCGAACAACATAAACACTACACTACGGAACTGCTGAAAGGTAGGGAACGGCTTGAATGAAAGTGACTGACTTAAAACCTACACTATAAGTTATTTATTTTCATGTATTATGCACGTTATTAAAGTTAATAGCACAGCAAAAATAGGCGATATCCACGCAAAAATGTTTCATCCTATTTTCAACCCGCTACGTTTATTTATGGAATAAAATTATAATACTTCACCCCATGGTTCCATCCGGGATCGAACCGGAGAACTTTCGCGTCTGATGGGAACATGATAATCACTACACTACGGAACCGCTCTAGTGGTAGGGACGGCTTGAATTAAAGCGACTGACTTAAATTCTTTACTCTGGATTAGATATCATTGCTATATATTATGCACTTGATTATAAAATGTAAAGCGTACAATAAAAATGAGAGATATCCACGCTTGTATTCTATCCCATTTTCCACCCGATACGTTATTTCATGGGACAAAATAAAGTCACTTTGTCGCTTGCCTCCGTCCGGGGTCAAACCGGAGACCCTTCCCACATGAACAAACCGTGATATTAACTACACTACGGATACATTCAACGGGTAGGGAACGGCTGGAGTTAAAGTTACTGTTTTAAAGTCTTTACTCTTGATTAGATATGATTGCCATGTATTATGTACTTGATTAAAGAAAAGCGTACAATAAAAATAAAAGATATCCGCGCGCGTCAATTTCATATCCCATTTTTAACCTGCTATGTAATTTCATGGGGAAAAAATGAAGACACTTTGTCTCGTGGCTCCGTTCGGGATTGAACCGTACACCTTTTGCGTGTTAAGGGGGCATAATACCTACAAACGGCAAAAAAATCCATTTTTCAAAGGTATTTTTAAAAATTAATGCAGTTTGTTTGGAGCATTTTAAAACAAACCGCATCAAAATCGGACCAAAATTACGGCAATAGCAACAAAAAATGTCAAACGCCAGCACTGGATTGCCCATTTAGTGTACAATAAAAAATTAAAAGTAAAAAAAACTTTTTAAAAGCAAGCTTTTATTTAAATGCTCTAAAGGAATAAAATAAACTTTTGTTTTAAAACTTTTTTTGCTATCAACTTATAAAATCGTTATACGATTTATGATATAAATGCTTGTCGTGAGATTTAAGTACTCATATTTACTTAGTCTGAAAATTTTAAAAATTCAAATCAATCAGATGAAGTTATTTAATTTGCTTGTTTATGTACACAGGTGAATCTCGGGACAAGCTTTTATATCATAAATTGTATAACGACTTTATAAGTTGATAGCAAAAATAAGTTTTAAAAGAAAAGTTTATTTTATTCCTTTTAGAGCGTTTAAATAAAAGCTTGATTTTAAAAAAAGTTTTTTTACTTTTAATTTATATATTTTTTACTTTTTATTTATCGCTAGACAGAGGTTTCTCAGTCTGTTAATCTCATTCAACGCATCAGTGTTGAAACATCGTTTGCTGGTTAATTAAATATTAAAACTCATTCTCTTTTTTTTTTTTTTTTTTTTTTTTTTTTTTTTTTTTTTTTTTGCTTTTACTATAACACTATATTAAAAACGAAAAACACATTTTTTTTTTGTAAATCCGTAATTTTAAACCAATTTTTTCAATTTTTGTGTAAAATTTGGATAATACTATTCTACAAACGAGAAAATATTTTAGAGCGACTTTATTTAAAATGACGAAGATTTTAAATTTTTTATTCAAAATTTGAGTATTTTTTGAAAAATCGTAAAAAAAAAGTTTTTGGCCTTTTATTTTTTAATTGACTGATTCTAAAAGAAAAAAAGCCTGAACTTTCTTAGTTCAGAATATCGATTCATTAACACGCAAAAAATCATACAGAACGATCTAGAAATCATTTTCATGAAAACGCATCGATTTTGACTCATTTTAGAAAAAATTGTAAAAAATAGAAATATCATTATTTTTTTAACAAATTATACAGTATCGTAGCGAAATAAATTATCTTTCCCATTAATCTATTATTTTTCGTCTCAGTTTCAGAGAAAGAATAAAATGGTTTTTTAAGAAAGGCCGAAGAGAGAGAGAACCGGAACTTCTTTAAGCTCTA